GGTGGCCGAGCCGATGAACACGAGTCGGTCATAAATTCCTTGTCACTAATTCGATATTATCTGCGTTTGGGGGGAGGAAAAAAAACGGAACGATCCACGGGCGAATGAATCGGTCGAACGGTCGCAACACCTCGTTCGACCGCGCGGGTTTGTGTTCGGGCCGACGCAGGATTACGACACCTCGAAAACAGTAAACAAGCAATTAGTCTTGTCTCAATTTATCGATTAATTGCCCGCGCACTCGGCTACCGGTTTCCGCGAAAGGGGAGAAAAAACTCCGACGCCGCACATTGGATTGAGTCAGTGAGAGAGGTTGGACATGGAGTTTTTGGCTTAAACTGTAAATTTTGATGTTTATTGCGTCAAATTTTAAATTGTAAGCAGTGCTTCTAAAAGGAAATCTTACGAGGAAATCAGTAGAGCCAATTTTAAAACTTCAAGGTTTTGTAAACACGGAGTTACAAGCTTTCAAAGTCTCCATATTTTGTCAGATATCTCCAATCGACTCGATCCAATGTGCGCCAAGCGCCACCGCGCTGCGCTGTTGATGTCTCATTTCGGTCGAGCACGGTTTCCTGACATTTCAGAAACAGCTTAAATGCAGATGAAGCCTTATATGCAAGAATAATGGATGTCACGTTTTTAAAGTTTTGTGACCATTGCCTTCAGAGTTTCCAAAGCTGTGCGTTGCGATGTCCGTGCAGAAAATAAGCTTCGTTGAACAAATTCTCTGCACAAAAATAAAATGACGGCGGAAATTTTTGAACGTCGCATGTGGCGCTCATGACGCTTTGACTGGAAGGTGACGATATACTACCAGGACTTTCCCATTTTTNGGGGGGGGGGGGGGGGGGAGGAAGTCCTGACATACATAGAAAGATAAAAAAAACCCCACTTCATTTCATTCTTTAATTGGAGGGTTACTTATTTCAAGAGGTCAAATATTGCCACACGGAAGTTCCGTAAGGGACACCGTCATCGCTATTGCTCCTGTGCAAGATAAGCTTTAGCGATTCTCCACGCCCTACTCCTGGAAATGAGAATGCCCCTCCGCCAACCACCAGCCCCGCGGAGGCCGAGGGAAGTGTCGCCATGGCAACCGTCACCACTTATCGTCGCCACTCCCGCGTAAGGGCGTATCTCCATTCCCCCGTGAGCCGTTTTCTCCGTATAACTTCATGCTTTTTGGGGCTCATGTGGAAGTAGAGATACGCTCTTACGGCCGAGGAGGGACGTTATCGGAAACTGCGGAAAGCTGCTTCATCGTGCTCCGCAGACGCCATTTTTTCCCCTGCGAGACGCGACCTGAGCAAGGTGGATACTGTATGCGTATTTTGAGAGGACAATAGGAAAACTGTATGCGGTATTCTGGAAAATTGAGCGCCGTTTTATTAGTCGTTCTTTTCAAGTTTGAGGCGCATTTAGTCTGAAACAATAGTCTCATGTGCTTGCAACTGTTAAAATTTTAAGTTATTCGCGTAAAATGTCTAATAAATGTCAACAAAATTTATGAATTTTATGAAAAATATTTATAATCTACATATTATTATTTTTCATGAAATTTCCCATCTCAGGTTAAGAGGCAAAACTTTGCTCTTTATTTAATAACCGGTATGGGGTAAAACGCCCTAGACAACAATATTAAAAATTGAGACGTCGGTATCACAGCGTAGATCTGATTTTCCGCATCGAACTTAATTTTGTATTTTTAGGCTGGAGGTCCCTTTCCTGTGAAAATTCTCATCTTCTCTGTTCGTTTAATTTCTTATTGTGTAGAGTCACAGTTCTCAGTTATTTATTCGCCAAGTCTATACTTGAGTCATGCAGAGAATTTATACACTTATACTCGGTTTAATCTTCAACCGGGCGAATGAGAATGTCATGATGATTGATACTCATCTTCATGCTGGCCACTGGCGTATCGCGCTTAGCGATGAATCGATTAATCTGTCATTTATTTCTATAGAAAAGAATCGATTATCAGGGTGTTTGCAAAGAACACCTTGATAATCGATTCTTAACCATGGCCTTTGATGGGATCATATCGATTGTCGATTATTCACACTTGGACGCATTTACATCAAAAGGACCTGTATCCTTCGCGTCATGAGCCCTGTCTTGCATATAGTCTCTCGGATCGCATGGCTTATGTTAGAGTGGACGTGGTTCCTTTTGATTTAAATACGTCCACTGATGTTTGGCTCGCAGTTACAAGTGCCGTCATCGCTTCGAACACGCATAACCAATACGATGAAATGCCTGCAATTAGGCACGCTAATTCTTTAGGCAGAATTTAACAACGTCATTATCATTTAAACGCATCAGCAAACAGTAAAACATTTTACGATCAGCTGGGGCCATCGATGAGTGATGGAGGAAACAGCGACAATGCCCGGTGTGTTTGTGGATGATTCGCAAAACTGCCAAGGATGGAGATGATCGGAGAGCGGGGGACTTGTAGCTAAACAGGTGAAGGAAGCTGAAGTAATTACGCAGGCTGATTGCCGTTAATTATTAAATAAACATTTGAAATATTACCTCGTTGTCATTCACCGGCTGAATTTAGCCTCGCAACAAATGTAACTTCGTTTGGTTCCACGCGCACAAATTGCTTGAGCAACTAGCACTTGCAAATCAAGCTGTGTTCTTTCCCTTAAACACCTTTGCAATTCTGGAATCCTGCTGATTACTGGCAGGCAGTCAGGTCGTTTCTGCGTTTCTTTGGCGGCAGTGCGGGAATTTGCCAATGCGCACGTTTCAAACCGAAGAGCACAACATTCACCAACTTCCCTCGCAATAAAACTCCGTTTAATGTTTTAATTTTAGAGGCCTTTCCGATAAACTCTTTCGCAGGTTTCACCGTGGCCTGTCTCCCAACGCTCATAAACTTGAACCGGTAATTAACTTAGCAAGCTTTCTTTTCGCACCAAGAGTTTAAACCTTTCGCCAATAATGTACATACTACCCGAGAGGAACGATTCTCAAAGTAATTATGAGTAGATTAGGCATAGTAAAGTAAATTGAAATAATTAGACTGATTAAGCGTTTATCTGCGGAGGGGTACATCTCAACTATAATGTGTCACTCAGTTTAAGATAATTAGTTTATTTTCCTTCAAAATTCTAACGACTAATGTACCACCTAAGAGTAATAATTGGTGCTGTTAGGTGCCTATTATCCACACAATGTTGCTGTATTCTAAAAGGATAAAAAACCTAAACACAAACCTAAGAAAAAGTTCTAACCATGCTGATTCTAGATTATCAAGCGGTACAAAAAATTGTACTCCGAATTTATCATTTAGTGTATTTTTAAAAGCATTTTCTTGAATATAATGTGAAAATACTACCCATTCAAGTCTGATCATTGTATTGTATTATATTATAAATGTATAATACTTAATAATAATAATAAAAAAAAAATTCTCATTGATTTACAAGGTCGACGTTGGTATCATAGAAACAATTAGAAGGTCTGCATCGAAAATGTCACAGGGGAAAAAAGTAGGTATAGAACTAACCAGCGAAGTATATGGAATGTAATAAAAAGAGTTAAAAATACAAAAAAAAGGTACAAATAAATACACGAAAGCGTATGAATATGAGGCCAATGATGAGCATGCGAATCTATTTAACACTCAATTTTATGACGGCATCGGTGCGATTTTTCTCTCTGTTATAATTTTATGATTTTATTTCTGTTTCAGACGAATGTTCCCCACTGTGAGAGTATCTTTCGAAGGTCTCCGACCGGACCAGAGGTACGCCATCCTCATGGATATAGTGCCAGTGGACAATAAAAGATACAGGTACGCTTACCATAGATCCTCGTGGCTGGTCGCCGGAAAAGCAGACCCGCCCGCCCCACCTCGGCTGTACCAGCACCCTGATTCACCATTCACCGGTGAGCAGCTTCGAAGACAAGTCATCACATTCGAAAAAGTCAAACTAACCAATAACGAAATGGATAAAAATGGGCAGGTGAGTCAAATAATTTAATTGTATTTTAAAATATTGCATATGCATTCGCGATGGAGACCTGGAAATTGAAAAAAAAAAAAACTTAAGACATATTGGAGTGAGAGTCTGAGTGCTGTTTACTACAGAGCCTATTTTACCCCCAGATAATTGAGTGTATATGAAAGTGGCAATTGCCAACTTGAGGCGCGCCTTCAATTTCGCCGCTTAGGCAAAACAACACACTGGAGAGCGCGAATAGTTATCTCAGTATTCGAGAAATAAACTATCATCTCGCTCTGTAAACGTTTTTCTCCCCAATTCTCGCCTTGAAAATGTATTACGAATGAAAATCGGAATCTACTCTTTTCGCGGTATGAACGTCGCTCTGTAAGAGATGAATACACTTTTTACCTCTCCACGACCTTTTCTTCTTCCTAAATTTTTGGATCGATCCAATTTTAGAGCTATTTTGGTCGATTTCGTGATCGATCACAGGACATTTTTATTATCAAATTTTACCTCCTCCTAATAACTTCTGAGATTTGCCTTGAACGATGCTTCGAGTTTTTTCTCAGTTTTTTGAGTTTTACTCTCGGATAGGACCGGTTGGGCCCGCGCGATGCCCAGAATGAGCCGATTAATTTTAAGCTGGTCAGATCGAGTTCTTTTGGTGGATAAACAACACCGGTTTCAACAGCTTTGGCGACCATTCTATCTTCCCAAGCAAGAACCACATATCCATGCATGGTTGATATTAGTATTAGGTGGTTTCTTACTTAGATCGACGACCATTCCTCACTCAATTCCGGCTTCTGTCTCTAATCGCAGAGCGGTGACGACTTGTCTCCTCAGAACCCGCCCGAATCTCTACGATTCGTCTTTTATCGCCCCCTCTCCACCTCCATCGAATTTCTAATCCTCACTAGAAGCTGGCTCAAATTTCGGATACGCATCAATATATTTTAAAACAAAGAGCGCATTTTTGGGGCAGGGCCTCTGGATTCTGTCGAATTCGAACCTCTCTTTTTTACGTGGAACTTGATGGAGGTATGATACCTTTATCTGGGATTATACCAGTGCTGGAAAGTGCCCAGCCTTAATACTCACCACATTGAGGTCGATATCAATCAAACATCTACTATACTTCCCTTTCAATGCATTATTGTCTTACATAATCTTCATTCCAATCATGAGTGTAATCGATAGAAGTTCAGATGAAACCACTTTTTAGATCACCTAACGGTCTACCGTATATGTTACTGAATTCAATTTACTCACACAAAATACTTACAATTAATTGACGCCTTCCTTAATTTAGCGATATTATATCTCTCAATTTTACTCTTCCTCGTGAATAAATAGATCATGAAATCTATTACTACCAATTTTTAAGACTCGCGCTTCTAGGGCGCATTACTTATGAGGCAATTTTCTTAAGCTTTTCACATCGAAAACAAAAAACCCAAAATAATTCCCTCTCTTTAAAAAAAGTCGACGCCATTTCCACAATCGTGGGTCCAGACTTTAAAATTAACGGATAATTTTAATTTTTTGTTCAGTCCTATAGAGCAAAACAATTATTGACGGCAAATTCAAGAATAATCATGCTTGCACTAAAAAATAATATGGTAGATTTTTCGATACTCTCACACAGTGATCCAATTATGGTAATTAATACCAAATTCTATGGTAGCATTTACCATATTATGGTAAGTATCACTAGAGTTCTGGTAAATACTACTATGATACTGGTTATTTTCACTAAATAGTATGCCTGTGTAAAAAATCAAGTAGATATACAGTAGATTTTACCATCCTCTGTTTTAGTGTGAGTCAACTACTTTTCTCTCAGCGCACGTTCCTGATCCACCCCGTTGATTGCTTTTTACTTTCTACTAATTAAAGTCGCGGTGAAATTCATATACGTTCATCAGAATAGCTTAGATACTGCCGAGGATACACCTGTAAAAATTCATGGCTAATAAAATGAGGAAACAGCAGGGCACGCGACAAATGATAATCGAAGTACTTTGGGCAGTCGGAACGGATCAAGGACCAGCGCTTGGGCAGATGCGTCATTGCCCCAGCCGGATATCACTAAACGGCCTGCATCAATTCGCTGTTGTCAGTTTGTTTAAGGAATGAACGCAGTTGATGGGAGGGGGTTGAACTTAAAAGTATTTCGATGAACACCACAAAATAATATTCTGGCTCTGCTCTGGTTGCGATACATTTCTTCATGGGCAGTTACAAGTTTTATAAGCTGCGCTGGATCACGTAATTGGCATTACTTCTAAAATTACGGGCAGCGACTCGCCTTCATTTTTTCGTATAGGCCAAAACTCCTCTTGAAAAGAGAAATAGTCGCGCGTGTTCTTTGGCTACTCTGCCGTGGTAAGGTGTAAAGCCGCATGAACATTTTGACTTTGCCAAGTCTGAACTGATAAAAGCCGGCTTTTGTACATGATGGATGCATATTTTTCGCTGATTTTTTTCCCTGGAGGATATCAGTAGCAATTTAAGCTGATGCATCCAAAACTTTCGGAGAAAAATATTCGTCATTTTTCTCACAAATTAATATTTTATCCGAAAAAATTTGGCGAATTTTAAATGTGTCTACGGCGTTTCTCCTTTCCACGGCAGTATCGATGACAAATACGTGAACTTAAAGACTAATTTTAGATTAAGATGACTAAAAAATGTGTCAAAAAATTTGATCATATTCTTGTGCGGCTTCCAAGGGCGGATTATTTTTCGTTTTTTATTCGTTAATTAAAATTACTCCATTTTAACGATTTCAGATCATTTTAAATTTTGCTGAATCCAGCTCCTTTTTATTCGCACAACATTTGAAGCGGGTGCCAGGTCGTTTTGAAACATGACAACTTAGGAAATCATTTCGACAGGTTATGGACGCATCGCGTATTAGATCTTCAAGTGGTGACCTTGGGCGGACAAGACCTTGCGAGACCCTCCTCTGGATGGTGTGCTCTTCGGCTTACCCCCTGTGGATCGTAACCTTCATGATCCATGGATAAGATCTCCCACCTGATTCAGCTAATCGGGTTATTTCCGGTTGGAATCATTGAAATTATAATTGAGTAACTTAACATTTTCATGCTCACTCACTCCTACCTCAATTGTAAAAAAAATCGATACACATTCATGCATTTTTGTGATGGTTGCAGCTGGAATGCATCGATCATATGCTGATTGTCTATGGAATGAAAATAGTGAGGGTCATATTACATTCTTCTTAGCTACTTGCTCAGGGGTTACAGCTGATCTTTGGGAAGTTCGCGGGTGTAGTGGATTACGAAGGGTTTATTGACGTTTCATTATTAATTATCATTTAAGAATTTGGGAAAAGAAGCCTTAGTCCATGGAATTAATCTTCTCAGTATTGCAAAATAGGTCGATCTGGGTTGAGACATCGGATTTTGAGATGACCGTGCAATTTCTCTCCAAAATTGTGCCAATTTTTTCGTTCAATCTGAAAAAAGTGGTCATCCGATAAAACAGTCATATGCAGTATGGTTTTCTTAGTAAAAAGGTGGTAAAATAGTGCTGGATCCACACCATTTTGCGGAGAAAACAAGAACAAAAATTTCAATCAGAATCAAATATTTTGAGCAATTGAAATGTTGGAACCTTTTTGGCCTTGTTTCCCCTGCAAAATAAAGTGGACCTTGCACTATTTTACCACTTTGTTACGTAGAGTTCGGGCCACATTTCCAAGTGTTTTTTTTCTTGTTTCTTGGTAATATAGCACAACTTGCTGGTGGAAATTGTGCAACTTTGGAATATAGTTACTTTTTTTCGGTCGGGAAGGAAGGATTGGCACCATTCTTGGTAGTGCGCCCTTATACCTTTTGACGTGACACCTCTACCTTCACGGTTGTATGGTTATCATCTCGAGTAACGTCATACTGCCAGTCTGTAATCCTTACTTAACAAGGAAAAGAAAACTTTGATTAAAACTTAATACCTTTATACCGCGACGATTACTGCTACTAGAAGTTGATATATTGAAAGCAGCTTATCAAAGCAGTGTTCATAAAATCCTGAAAATATTTTCTTTTTCTCTTTCTCCTCTTTCCTCCCGATAGTTTCACGCGGAGGCAAACGAAGAGAGTATACCCAGATGTTTTTAACGCCATGTCAGAACTAATAGATTTTAGTCGCCAGGTATCCAGACACACCAACCATGTTGCCCAGTTGGACAAACATCATATATTCGTTCGAATCTATACGGAGCGGTAAAATGTTTGATTTCATATCGATTGACAACATCTTGAAACTTGTCAATGAGGTGCGTGGAATTATTTCATTCAAAAGCCCACCGCGCGATTTAAATCCGGTTGGTTACTCAGCGAGAGATTTTGAAATCATTTTAGTCTAACACGACCACGAGCAAACTTAGCTCTGTACTACAGGGTGTTCCCCAAGTCGAAAATCTGATGAATCTTCGCAATTTATCGTATTTTTTGGGCATGTCATTTACAACAACATTTTCAATCAGTTGTAAACAACTGTGAGAGGGATATACTAGGCGAATATGTCTTAAACAATCTTGCTTGACTTAACCGGATGAGAATAGAATGGAGAATATGAGTACCTAGTCATGGACTATATCTTCAACATAGCTAAGTGCTCACATTATCGCAAATGCTTAATTCATTCAGATATTCTCTCACTGAAAATCCCGGCGTTACACGTTTACATGAATAAAAAATGTTAACCTCGGGCTTCGTTGGTTTGGAGATTTTCGCTAATGTTTTTATTTTGCTTCCCTCCCTCCCTCTCCCTCCCTTTTTAAGTATACCTAAATGCTCATCGGACAGTAGCAGTAACTTAAAAAATACTTTTTGTCCCGTTCCTTGAAATTTAATTAGTTCTTTCTAGAATTGAAAGATAAACTGAAATTTTGAAAGTTTCGAGACTTGAAAATTCAACGTGTAAACCGCAAAAAAATGAAATCAATGATGAGGAGTGAAAAACAAACGAGAGAAAGAAAAAGA